GTTTATATAAGTCAAAAGGGTCTTCAATGCTGGTCTGATATACGGCCGCGATTCTATGTCGATCACTTCAGCATTATTTTAGCTATCTTTTTTTATCCTGAATCGCCATAATTTCGTCTGATTCTTACTATTCTATATCCACATCGGTATTGCATAATAAGGCGCTAGTTTCTGACTCACAATCCGATATATTCGAAAGAGGTTTTACTGGCGCAAAGAGAAGATTGCGGAGTGCAGAAATACTAAGCCAACAAAATGACGTCACAACGCTAGTATCCAGTCCCCCAAAATGGGACAAAAATCAGGGGAAAATTGCTAATTTCAAATAGCTGTAACTTGGCAAGTTTTCATCAGAATTGAAAAATATTTTAGATTTAGGGTTTTCAAATAACGTTCTTTCACTGGACAAAAAACTGTTTTCGTGTCATATGCTCTTTAAAAGATGTGATCCTTGCATTTCGATCAATAAAATTATGAACCTCCCATTGTCGTCAATTCTTTTTTTCTCTAATTGTACAGGTTAATTTTTCTCCAATCAAATTTGCTGTTCCTTTGCTTTTTGAAGTCCCATATGACATAATCAAATTCCCCCTTGTTCTTTTTTACCATTCGTCCACAACATCTAATGAGCTATGACTTTCTTGAATAAAAATAATACTATTGTCGCCGTTATGTTTTGAAAACCAGTGAAACATTTTTCTAATTTTTTTTGTAATCTCTCATGCCCCGAACATTTAGTGACAAGAAGTTAATGTTTAAGTCGTTCATATTTTCGATCCATGCAGGCTCGACAATAACTAGGGTAAACGGGTTAGCGAAATTCCTTACAATTACTGCAATTAGAATTACGCAAATCAGAATCATAGGAGGAGAGTGAGCTTCACTCATTAACGACTATTATTATTAGAAAACCCTTAGGATTTGTTATATCTAATATATCTATAATTTATGCATCTTTGAGAGTAAACAGAGAAAATTTGTTTTTGATATAGAAACAAGAAATATCCTAGTAGATGAAGAGAAAATATGTAAAATCTAGAACTTCATATTATTTAACTATCAGTTCTAATAAATTTACTGTTCACACCCTTAACAGGATATTCCTACAGGTTATCTTTAAAGAGTTCAGTATTATACGATGATTCAACTAGAATAGTGATCCTTTACTTATATGCATCTTGTGCAAATTCTTGGCCATCAATAAATAGTTTTTGAGGTTCCCTTCTGCTAAAATGGGCTTGTTTGCCCATTTCCCTTGCTTCTTTAAATTTTGGAAGTAGAGCTTTCCTAATTCTTACAACTTCAGGCGGATAATCAGTACCTATGCCATATTCTTTTGGTAGACCACGACGCTTCGCGAAAATGTTTTCCCGGTCTGGGAAGCGTAAAAAACGAGCAATTATTGCCCTTGGAGCCATACCCTTCCTTTTTCCAGTTCTATGGACTCTTTGGATTTCATAGGATTTGGCATCTGGGATTTCAGCATAAGTTTCAAGAAACTTATAAAGGACCGCTTTAGTATCTTCTTCTCTCTCTCTTCTGGTATGCCGTAGAATCGAGGATTTTCACGGCGGTCATATGGTTCATACTTCAGATAGGTCGTCTTCAGATTTGCTATCTCTTCTTTCATAACTTTGACATCCTTCATTTCCCTGTCATTCCCTTCCACGGTAGTACTTAAGTAATTCAGACCTTTTTCAACTTCCCTCGTGGTRTTCTTTACATCGTTTAACTTTTCTTCAAARTCTTTCATTGAGGTTTGTATTCCCTTCATTTCTCCCATGGCGTTCATTGTTTCATTTAACTTGTCTTCGAAATCTTGCATTGAGGYTTTCATYCCCTTTATATCTTCTTTAGCGTCCTTTTTAAGCTCCTTAATGGATTTCTTTAAGTTGGTTATTTCTTTCACATCTGTCTTCAATTTCTTAACGTCCTCCTCTAACTTACTGATGGCGGTGTCAATTTTGCTTATTGAATCTTTAACAAATTTCATATCATTGGCAATCACATCTAGCTTGTTAAGCTTCTTCAATATAATTTCCATACTTGTTTCTTGACGCTCAGCCGAGTTCTTAATGGCGACGTCCTCGTTAATTTGGTCATAATTTTCATCGGCCATAGCCACTCTTTTGGCCTCCGGCGATAGAAATTCGGAGTCAGTTTGTGACCCACTACTTTTTCTTTCCTTTCTCTTGTTAAAAGAAGCTGAAATCATGATGAACTTTACGAAWTTTTTAGATTTTTGAGGGAGCTCGCAATCTAACCTCCTCACTCAAGCATGTCTCTTGCGCCCTCTGATTCCGGTCACTCATATATAGCCCGCTGAATTTATAACGAGCTATTCAATTCAATTCATCAAACCCACATTTCCCTGCTGAATATCAAATCCCTCCCCGGCTTTAAGTTTCTATGGTATATACAACCCTATGAATAACAAAGAAAACCTAGTGAATTGGAAACTAATAAGGAGTGTTTTATCAGATTATAAAGGTCCATGCATGTGACCAAATAGGCTCATTCTATTGGCCTAGTAACTTATTAATTATGTATGAGGTTTTTGAGGCCAGATATTGTGATATATCTGAAATGTTTTCAACTCGAAGGTAAAGTTTCAATATTAATAGCTGTTGTCATGTGTCACATTCATAATCCCTAAAGCATGCTAAAGCGGGCTGAATATATTTGAGGGCCCTCCAGAGGCAGGTTTTACTATTGTGTGAGCAAAATACTGACATGACCTTGGCCCTGGACCTCGGTTCTTGTCATCAAAATTTGTTCAAGACCTCGATCTGACTTGTGCTAACATAATACCGAGCTATATGGTTCTTACATGATAATTTGTTACCTGTTCACTGCTCCTATCGGCCCCTGGCCTTCCATTAGCACCATCTTGACCTTTCTTTCCATTCCCTCCACTTGATACGATATCAACATAGCCAACAAT